GGGGAGGAAGAATTAAATTATAATTTACAAATGACAAGATCTTCTGCACTGCACATGCAAAAAACTCCACCAAAGCTAGGCATAAGCACCTGCACGGTGAGTGCGAGATTATGAGTTCAATTCCTGGTACTAAAAAACAAAACCAAAACCAAAACCAAAAACCCCACCTATAATTAATAACCAAATTAGATAGTATACTAGGTTACAAAGTCAATGCACAGGGGGCTGGGGATTTAGCTCAGCGGCATAAGCGCCTGCCTTGCAAGCAGGCAGTCATGAGTTCGATCCCTGGTACCCGTAAAAAGGAAAAAGACCAAAAAAAAAAAAAAAAAAAAAAAAAAAAAAAGAAAGAAAGAAAAAAACAAAGTCAATGCACAAAAATAAATAGCATTCCTATAAAACAGGAACAAAATTACTAAGAAATAAATGAAGGATAGTATAACTTTCATAATATCAAGAAGAAAAATCAAGCACTTGGAAAGTAACCTAATAAAGTGAAAGACCTCTACAATCAAAACTACAGTAATGTTCAAGCGGAGATTGAAGAGAATATCATAAAATGAAAAGATATTCCCTGTTCCTGAATAGAGAGAAACAACATAATCAAAATGGTCATACTTCCAAACTTTTATCCAGATTTAACACAATTGCAGTGAAAATATTGATAGCATTTCTCACAGAACTAGGAAAAACAATCTTAAAATTTATAAGGAACCAGAAGAGACTTAGAACAGGAAAAGCAATCCTGGGCAACAATAGTATGCCAAGAGGCATCACAATAACATACTTCAGTTTCATTGCAAAGCTACAGTGATGAAAGCAGCACGGTACTGACAAAATGCAGTCTTGTAGTTCAATGGAACAGAATAGAAGCTAAAGAAACAACAACAAGCAACTCAGCTATGTTATTTTTACAAGGGGTCAAATAATTTCCCTAGAGGTAAGACAACTTTTAGTGACTGGTTTCCCAACCCTGCCAGCATTTATTATTGGTTGATTTCTTAATGGCAGCCATTGTTTCTGGAGTGAGATGATATCTCAGAGTCCTTTTAAATTGCAGCTCGTGAATGACCAATTACGTTGAACATTTTTTCACATATTTATTTGCCATTTGTATTTCATCATCTGAGAATTGTGTTTTCATCTCAGATGCCCATTTTTGGACTGGGTCTTTGAATTTGGGGGGCCTGATTTTTTTCCACTGATAGAAGTGCTTTGTTTGAAGGACCATGGCAAAAATATTTTCCCAATCTGTGGGTCTTCTTTTCACTATGTGAGTGATTTCTTTCAATGTGCAAAAGCTTTTTTAATTAGATGAGATTTCAGTTGTTGATTCTTTGAAGTATTTCATGTGTGGTTTGGCTTTTGTTCATGAAATCTTTTCCTATCCCTAAGTGTAGACTGGTACAAACACTGGAAATCTGTGCAGAGATACCTCAAAATACTACTAGTAGAGTTTCCATTTGATTCAGCTATTCCCCTTCTGTGTATTTTATCAGAAGAACTTAAAGCATCAAACCACAGCGATATATGTGCCCTCATGTAACCTTACTCATAAGTGAAATAAATCAGACTTGCACGTGTAAACACTGTATTCTCTCACTATTGTAAGAAATTGGAAGAGTAAATAAGACCCAAAAGTTATTATAGATATAATAAAAGGGAACGAAATTACTCAAAGGGAAATTACATTGTTTGATCTATTTTGCATGCTTGTATCTAGTAACCTGGGCAACTATTTTGAAGATAACAATATGCAACTTAACAACTATTAAATTTCTATCACCTTGGTTTGAAATCCTATATCACTATTGTTTGCTGTTGTTGTTCTTGTTGTCATTTTGCTTTTTTGTTGTTGTTTATTTTTGCTTCTTGAGTTTTCTATGCTGTATTTTTAAAATAAATTTTAAAAAAATAGTGCTGAGAAACTGGTTATGCAGAAATTAAACTTGGACTCACATCTTTCACCATGTACTAAATTAAAATCAAAAGGCATTAAATATCAAAATATTAAAACAGAAGCACTCTGCTAGATGACAAAATAAGTAACACTCTGTTAGATATAGGCAGAGGGAATTTCTTAATGAACAGAAACTCAGGTGCACACTAAATAATATCAACAACCAAAAAATAAGATCATGTCAAATTTTAAAACATTTGCCCAGCAAAGGAAACAATCCATAAAGAGACAACCTTAAGAATGGGAAAACATTGGCAGGTACTTCTCAGACAATGGATGAATACCTAGAATATATAAATACCTCAAAAATTTAGTACACACAGATTAAAATGTTCAGTAAAGAAATGGTCTTCTGAAATGAATGGCTCTAGGTTGAAGAAGTACAAATGACCAATAAAAAAGTGTTGAACATTGCTGACTCTAAAACAATAACTAATTAAGAGGAAAATAAGACTTCATCTCACTACAGAAAGGAGGGTTATGGCTATCTTCAAAGGAGATATAAAGAATTTAAATAAGAACAGCTCTGAGGCTTGTGAGGACTGGGAGTCTGAGCCCAGAGTCCTGCTGTCATTCAAAAAACCACAGTGAAGTCAGCAGGGACTGGAAAGCTGAACCCAGTGACTTGCCCACACCCAAGAACCATAGGTAAGACTCCTGGGAACTAGACAGCTGTATCTAGCAATGCAATCACATATGGAAACCATCTCTGGGGCCTGTGGGGATTGGAAGTTTGCACCCAATGACTTGCAGTCATGCAGGAAAACACAGCAAGGACCACAGGGTTAGGGAGTGCTTGCCCAGTGATGTGCCCACACCCAGGAACCATCTCTGAGAGCTACAGTGACTGGGAGCCTGAGCCCAGAGATATGTTGTCACCTGGGAACCCACAGTGAAACCTGCAGGGATTGGGAAGCTGTGCATAGTGACCTTCCCACACCCAGGAACCGTAGGTCAGGCTCTTGGGGACAGGAAAGCAACTCTGAGTGACAAGCCCACATCCAGGAAACATTTCTGAGGTCTGTGGGAACTGGGAATCTGCATCTAGTGATATGAAGTCACCTGGAAACCCTCAGTGATGCCAGCAGGAACTGGCAGTCTATCCTAAGTGACCCACCCACAACCAGCAACCATTTCTGAAGCCTGCACAGAGCAGGTGTCTGCATCCAGAGACCCACAGCCATCGGCAACCCTCAGTAAGGCCTGACGCCAAATGAACTGCTGGCACAGGGAGCAACTAGGACTTGCAATCTGGCTGGCTTGGAGGAACACAGAACAAAGCCAAAATCAAAAGCAAAATGCAACCTCAAACTTCCAGCCCAACTAGATCTAGTATAGGAGACATAGACATGTATTACATATGAAATAGCACACCTGAAATTTCTGAAACGATAGCAATGGAATTAAGAAACAACTCCAGGAAGCTATCAAGGTAAATGGATGAGAAATAATCTCTTAGGTAAAAACAGAAACCGCAAAAATATAATGAAAGTATTGATAAGTGTATCCAAAGAAGACATCGATTTAAAAAAAAGGAGCATAGAAAAATGATGAAAACCTTGAATGAACAATACAGAAAACAATTCAAATACATGAATCAAATTCAATGAGATACCCAGGAAATCAAGAATTCCACTGACAGCTGGAAAAACTGCATAAATAATATTGAAGACAGACTTTCAGACCATGAAGACAATATTACAGCTAGTGATCATGAAAGGAAAGATCTCTTAAAAATAACACAGAATCAGTAAATAATAATGCACCAGCTACAAGATGATGCATACAGAAAAAAAGATAAGTCTGATAGGTGTCAATAAAAAAGCAGAGGTAAACACAAATAACATAAAAACACTATCTGCAGAAGTAATAAAAACAGGGTTCAACAGAAAATTTTCGAAACATGGAAAAAAACCTGACATAAGATAAGCGAGGCATATAGACCTTAAATTATCCATATAAAAATAAATCTATACCTCAACATATGATAATCAAGATCACAGAAATTCAGCATAGCTGTGAAAGAAAAAGATCACCTATAAAGGAAAGCCTATCAAAATCATGGCAGAATTCTCAACACAAACTGTCAAGTCAAGATCATAGAGTGAAGTATTTCAAGTACTGAAAAAAAAAAAATCCAGCCCAGATTGATGTGCCTTGCAAAACAATCTGGCAAAATCAATGAAATAAGACACTTCCATGAAAAAGAACAACTGAAGAAATTCATGACCACCAAACCAGCACTACAAAGAGTACTGAAAGACATTCTACCAAGAGATAAAAATGACCATAATTTCAATAACAACAACATAAAAACACAAAGATTCAGGGCAAACAATTAAGCAGAGTGGACTGTTAGCTTTGACAAATACTATGAAAATCAGAACGCAGATTATTGAGAAAGCTAACAATAAAAATTACATTCAACTCAAATATTCTCCTTCCAGGAGTCTTCCTGAGAGAACTGAAGATATCAGGCAGCAATACATTCATAGCTTTGTTTACAGTGGCACAATTATTAATAGCTTAATCTTTTAAGGAGACTATATGCCCACCAATAGATGAATGAATAATGAAAATGTGGTAGTTATGTGCGATAGAATATCACTCTGGCATGAAAAATATGTTTAAGTCATTTGTAGAAAAATGCATGTACACCAAAACATATTGTTATCAAAATCAGACATTAGGCTTAAACATCACATGGTTTCTTATATGAGAAACTAAAACTATAAATAAAGAGGAAAATGAAAGCTAGATAATAGTAAATAGTGGATTGATCTTTAGCATGAGAGGGGAAATCAAGAGATGGAACGAATGGAGAAAGAGGGGTGAGACATAACACAAAAAGGGGAAATCGTAGTTTCCACATGACCAAATACCTAGGAGGAAGGTGATCATTATGTACTCCAAACATGTGAGGGAAAGAGGCTGAGGAGAGAGAAATGGCATGAAAGAAGAATGAACATGTGTCACAATGTCCCCATAATGAATGTAATCATTACACCTTACAAACCAAATAAAAACCTTAAGTGCTCACCTAGCTTCCTCTCCTTGAGTCCCAGCAGATCCTGGACTGCTCCCTTTGCTGACAGGATGTGTCTCCTCCTTTGACGCAGTGAAGATCCTCACAGCAAGGCTACCTCCCTGAGATAAGGGAAATAAAAATGTCATATATCTGGACACCTCTTATGGAGTTTCCTTAAACTGACAATAGTGTCATCCAGAGGCCCTCCATTATCTGGTGCAGGTCTGAGGGATTCACACTTTCTTGCTGCTGACTTGTAAATGCAGGTGGAAAATCCAGTCCACCATCTCCTGATCACAGCGGAGGCGGAAGTACTGGGCAGGCTGTTTCTTCTCTACAGTCCTGCCACCCAAGTCTGCCATCAGGGTCAGGCTTCCTATGTCTTGAGTCTACAGACTTGAGGTCACACTGCTCAAACCAAGGCTCCCTCTTTCCTGGTACGAAGAACCAGGGATAATGGTGTACTGCATTCCCAGGTGCTGATGATGTGTGGGTGGAGGTCACCCTCTGATCTAGCAGTAAGTGTCTCTTCAAAGTCTTTCCCTTGAACCCTGGAAGCAGCCCTACCCATCTGCAAAACTGAATTCTCATCCCTTAGATTCTAGGTGGCAATGCAAGACAGTACTCATACTGAAAGAATTAGCAGGCAGGGTCCAATTTGTCATGTGTCCTTGGCCCCACAGTCCTGCATCATTTTTGTGAGGGACCAGCCCTGGTATCCCCTTTTGACTGTGGCCTTACTTCTTCTTCAAAGTCCCCAAGGTCCCCCAGACCCTCTTGTAAAAGCCAGGAATGTCCTGCCTGCTAAATATACTTGGGGCTTTCGTGGACTCAGAGCAGGCACAGGCTTCTGTTGTGTCTTTCGTCTTCTGGAGTGTAAGGTACCCTCCTCTGTGGCTAAGGCTGGTGCCATTCTCAAGGATTACTCATCTGTAGAAGTAGGTATACCACACAAACAGGCACCATGTCCAGAGATTGCCAGGCCTGATGCTTGTGACATCAATGTCCCTCACGGGGGCTCCTCTGGTGGCATGTCCTCTACTCCTCCCTCTGGATCCCAAACTTTGCTCCTGGCTGTTACTACCTATGTCCCTGTTTACATAAATGTGCCAAAATGACTCTGACTTCCAGGTCTCTTGAATCCAAAGTGTGGAGAGGACTCATTCTGACAAGCCTGCCTCTGAGGAGTCTAGGTGTGACAAGAGCGACAGATCTGGATTGTTCAGAGAAACTTACCTGCCTGAGGACCTCACCTGATGTGGCAACAAGTTCTCTCTGTTCCCTCACACGAAGGACAGACATCAGAAGGAGGCCCTTGCCTCTCATTAACGCCAGAGGCTGAAGTCAGTGGTTGTCACGCACATACCTTCACAGGGCTGACAGAAGGTGCTAAAAGGGATTTGCTCCAGGATACACTTTCTTCCTCAGACTTCACATTGCTCTCTCCCAAAGCCAGGACCCGTATACTGGGCCAGGAGTGGTGTGTTCCTTTGCAGCCAAAGTCTCTGACAGGGAGGAACATCATTATGGGTATGGGGAGTGGAGGTGGAGTGCCCCGACAATGTGTCCCAGGTACCGGGCAGACAGCACAGGCAAGTATGTACTATTTAGGGACATGATACCTGACTTGGGGCTTCCACATTTACCCCACAACTCCTCAACCTGACCTAGCTGAGCCCAGGTGTTCTCTCCCGCTCCCACATGAAGCAGGAACTTAAGAATCAGGTTCTGACTTCAAGAAGAAGTGCCCTAACGCAAAAGGGGGCACTCACCTGAGAATTCTCTATGACAAAGTGCACCGCAGTCAGCAGAGACAGACATGCGGTATTTGAGGACCTTCCACTCATAATGGGGCTTCCTTTCTCTTTCTCAGCTCCTGAATCTAACTCAACCAATCTTGAGTCCTATTTTCTCAGCCCACCTAAATGTAGAACTCGGAACAAGGCTCCACCTCCCAGGGTCCCCTGTGACAGACATAGGCGAGGAGCTCATACCTGAAAGTCTGTGCCTGTGTGGTGTAGAGCCCACGGGAGAGGCAGATCTGAACTAGTTGGAGAAATTCTGTGAGGAGAGGCTTTAACAATTTTCCTATAGCTTCACCTTGACCTAACTAAGCTCAGTTCACCCTGTTCTCTAGACCACAAGCACAACAAGGCTCTGACTCTCTTCTCCCAGTGCTCCAAGATAAAAGGTGCGCTTCTCTCAGAATTTTCACCTGGTGCTGAGCTAACAACTGAGGCAGGTTTATGTTACTATGGTAACTCTCTCTCTCTCTCTCTCAGGTAGGTAAGGCTTTCTCACTTAGCCCTATCTTGACTCCCCTAACCTCAGGCCTTTCGTCCTTCCCATCTGAATCATAGTCCTCAGAAAAAGTCTTTGATTCTCAGCTTCTGAAGAGAAAGAGGCTGCCTTCCTGAGAATCTTGCCTGGGTGGTGCAAGGCAGGCAAAAGAGGCTTTTTGAGAACATTCAGAAATCTCACCCAGGTGAGGATTCCTTAGTACTTCCCACCGGACCTCACTTAGGCCTAACTCATCCCAGGCAATCTCTGCCCTTCTCACTTGAAGCTCAGCAATCACGAGACTCTCATATTGTCTCTGTTCCCAGAGAGGACAAAAGGAGTCTCTGGGAGAATTCTGTACTGCATATGCAGCATGGAATAGGCAACTGATACTTTTCAAGAATATTCTAGGACCTCGTCTTGGGTATCGGGTTTTCACAGCCCTCCCTTAGTCCTCACCTTGAGCGAATGGAAAACAGAGACTTTCCATTCCTCTTTTTCTGCTCTCTGGACCTCAGAACAAGGCTCATAATTCTGCACTAGGGTTTCCCTGAGGCAAAGTCCGGGCCCTCACCTCAAAAATTCTTCTTGTATTGCAAGCTGACAGTACCAGTGAATCTGAATTGTTCCAGTTCCCTCTCTCTGGAGTGAAGCTTCCTCACTCCTGCACAATCCTTCAACGTGACCACTAAGGGAGCCCCACCCACTCCTCCCCCTCTCCTCACCTGAAGAGCACACCTCACAGCAGGATCTCCTGTCACTGACCCAAAGCAGAGCCAGTGAGTGGACTTTACATCCGAGAACACGCACGGGGTCTCTCAGCGCTGACAACAGGAGCAGAAAGAAATTCTTCAGGCCTCTCCCTAGTCCCTAAGGATCAACACATTGGTTCCTGACAGAGACTATATACCCTAATCCTTGATGGATACCATTCTGTTTCCCACTGTCCAAAACACTATCTCCCTGTGTCCTTGGAAGCTGAAGCTCATTCTAACAAATCGATCTCTATAATGGTAAAGGCTGACGAAACAGGAAGAACAGGAACAGGAAGACACTTTCTCTGGATTAGGATGTATCTCCTCCCCCTACATCCCATCACCCTTACCCTGAGCCTCCGCCCACTCTACTCCTCACTTGAAGCCAGAACCTCCTAAGCAGCCCTCCTGTCGCTCTAACACAATCAGCCCCAGTCAGTGGACTCCGCATCCAGCAACGTGCCTGGGGTGTGACGCGCCAAGAGTGGAAGGGGAGTCTCCCTAAGTGCTCACAACCTCTCTAGAGACAAAGTCCCAATATCTGTCCTCTGTGGACTGAGGATGCTTCCCTCATTCCAAGAAGCTGACTCCCAGTCTCCCCTGAATGGCAATGTGGTCTCAGCTGAAAAGTGTTCCTTGTAGTTCTGGAATGACAAAACAGGAATATCTGGTTTGCTTGCTGACCCTCTGCCTGGGATGGGCCTTACACAATGCCCTTTTAACTCTCACCTCGACCCCTGAAAAAGCTGGGGACTTGTCTGAACAAATGCTATTTCTCCAGGCTCTGATCAGACATCTAATGGTGATTCGTTTTCCCAGACCATTGGTGGAACTGCTCTCCAAAACACTCTACCCTGAAACATCTGAGGTGGCTTGACCTTTGAGTACAGTTTTATTTCCTGCAGTGGAATTGTCTTCTCTGTTTATTTGCCTGTTTGGACATTTACTGACTTTGATGAATAAAGGCGATGAGTGCCCATTAGGATTTCACCTGTAATGCACAATCTATGTCATGAAAATATTTTATTACAGAAAGCCTGAAACATACAGCAGAGATACTATTCTTAACTCTCCACACCTGAAGCACAGCAGCACCAACGTAAACCACATGGCAAGTCTCATTTCATTTTGTCTGCCCAACTTTGTACATCATAGCTACTGGAAGAGTGTAGAAAACAAGTAATTCCATTATTTCATCTTACAAAATTTCAATATACATTTGTGAATAATAAGGGCAATTTAAGTAAATGCAATAGTTATCTTCTCTGAATTCATATCCAATTGTGGTACATATGCCATAATTCTTGTTATGCCTATTAAATCATTTTTAATCTACAGATTTCCTCTTCCTCCTCTCTTTTCTTTTGTAATTTGTTTAGTTGTTGGAAAAGGCAAGCCTCTATTCTATTCCATTTTCCATGCTCTCGATTTTGCTGAACACCACACAATGGTCTGCTTTAAGATATTCTTCATTGGCTAGTTTCTAGGACCAAATGGTGTTACAGGTTCATCTTGTATTATGACCTTCTCCAGCTCTAAGTTCATCCATTTCTCCAAGGAAGTTTGGTTCCTTCTATGGAGAATGGTTTTACAAATCAGTATCTGGGTGCTATGGATGCTCAGTCATACTGGGGAATTGTCAGCTATTAGCTTTTTCTGCTGAGTACACAAAGAATATACTGTGTATATACAGCATGTTTTATAAATTATTTACAGACATACATAAACTCATGTTTCAGTATTAAATTGAATGTGACTTTATCCTGATGCCTCCAACTGTAAGCTATGTCCACAAGGATCATTTGACCATCTCCTCTGGACAATCTATAGCTCCCCCTTCAGTCAGAAAGAATCCTGGATACTGCCCATCACACACCCTCTATTTAATTAATGGTTCAGTTCCAGTATATTGGAATTGGAGATACAGATGTGTTGAACCTACCTTTATACACCACAGGGAACATCTATATCAACAGGAGCACAGTTTTTATTTGAAGCTTCCCTGACCTTTAGTCTCGCTGACTTCTCTCATTTCCAACAGTGATTTCCTCCTACCTATTACACTGACATTGTAGATTCAGCTGTAATACATCTAGGATTTTTCTCTATCGTTTCATTCTATGCTGGGATTGACCACTTTTTAAAGTTACCTGATGTAACTTGTTCTAGGCCTGGAGGGGGTGATGTTCAGTCCTCCTCAAATAGGATAGGGTCTTGGTGTTTAGCTATGGATGTTAGTCACAGAGGGCCCTCTAAGTCCTGTTCCATGCTCACCTCCCTGCACCTCACCCCTTTTCCAAGCTCTAGGAGGGAGAAACTCCAGGAGAACATGCCGAATGCCCAGGGAACTGCCTGCACTTTCCCTGACCCCAGTGTGCAAGGTTTGTGTTTGCTGGAAGTTCAGGAGCACAATTCCACAATCTCTTTGCCATAACTTGGAATTATAGGGCAGCCCTATACACAATGATTTTAACACCATTATTGATTACACTGTGGCTTGTGACAGTATAAACTTACCTCGTTGTCAACTTCAGTGGGTTTTCTCAAATGTGTAATCACCAAGGAACCACGGTGACAGTATTTACTGTACAGGATAGATTCCCTGCCCAACAGTACCTTACCTCCATGTATCACACCTTTCTTCATTTTACTTTCCATGAACCACTTTCAGAGAGTGATCTTTTATTACCCCTTTCATTTTACCTTTTCCAGAATGACAAACCTGCAATCATACACTATATCACGTTTCACAGTGATTTTGGTTATTTTAAGCTTCTCTTACCTTGCTTGGTCTAATCAAAGGTGTGTGTAATTCATTAATCTTTTAAAAATACATCCCTGGCTTTTTAGCTCAGCAGCTCAAGTGCTCAAGTGCTTACCTGGTGAGTGTGAGGCTGTGAGTTCGATCCCCAGTACAAAAAATACATTTACAAATTAAAAAACCCAAAAAATCAAATTTCAGGGGCAGGGGATATCGCTCAGTGGCATGGCACTGCCTGCCAAATGCAAGGTTGTGAGTTTGGCTCCTGGTACCAAAACATTTTTCCTTGTATCAGCTTTCTCTAATTATTTTACACTCTATGTCATTCTTTCCATCATATTCTGTAGTATTCATCCCTACTTTATGTTTATTTTCAGATGGCTTGCACTTGTTCTGCTCCCTAAGTCTTTAAAATTTAATTAATTCATTATTATTATTTTGTCTTTTTCAGACAAGGTCTTGCTATACAGTTCTGGCTTGCCTTGGGCTCACTTTGTAACCCAGGCTGGTCTCAAACTTGCGATGATCCTCCTGCCTCAGCCTCTCAAGTGCTGGGATTATAGCTTTGTGCCACCACTCTCGGCTTTGTTTAAAAAAAAAAACAATAATACAGAGTCTCAAAACAGGGTAATAGGAAATTGATAATGGTTAATATATTGCATATTGTTGTCTTCAAAATAATTGCTCTGATTACAAGATACAGGCATGCAAAATTGATCAACTAATATAAGCACAGACCTATATTTTCAATGAACTAAAAGAAATTAGTAGTATAAGTGTGTTAGGTATCATATATATGATTTTTTCTCTTTTCTCTTCTTTCTTTTCACTTTCTCTCATCCTGGTTGTTCTTTTTCTTTTATGGTCACAACTAGAAATCTAAGTCTTTAAGTACGGGTTATTGTTTGATATAATTTTCCTCTTTAAGAATGTCATACGCTTTATAGTGCTAAATTTCTGGCTGCTGCATTTGTGCATCTTATACATTTTTTCTGTTTCATTGCCACATACAATCAAACCAAGGGCCTTGTGCATGCTAGGCAAGATCTCTTCCAATTGAATTATAGTCTAAACCCAAGTGACACTCAGTTTTGTTTTGGTTCCTTTTGGCAAACCTCCTACTTTCACTTGTCACATTTCTTGTGCTCTATTTGTTGTTTTTATGCATAGGATTTTGTCCTCTTACCAGCATATTCATAGGACAGACACCACTCAGACCTCAGAATATAATGGTGTTTGGATGTGGATGTTTAAAGAGGAAATGCAGTACAGAAATGAGACAAAAAAGAAAAATATGGCATTATATCGAGTTGAAAATACTCTAGGGAACAAAGGAACCAACCTGCAGACTGAAGAGACAACCTACAGAAGGCAAAAAACATTCTGCCAGCCACTCCTCTTACAGAGGACAAATACCTATATAAAGAAATTTAAAAAATTAAATTTCCAGAAGAAAAGACCCATTCAAACAATAGGCAGTTGAAATGAGTAGACATTTCTCCAAAGAAAAAATAGAACTGGCCAATAAGTACATGAAAAAAAGTTCAACGTTTTTGGTCATTAGCAAAATGCTAATTACAACGACACTGACATTCCATTTTACACCAGAAAAAATCACTATCATCAGAAATTCATAAGTGACAAAAGCTTATGTAGCTCCAGAGACAAAGGGTCCTCTCTGCACTATTGGTGACGATGTAAACCGGCATATCCACTAAGGAAAACAATATGGAGATTGCTAGACAAATTAAAATTTGAAATTCTGTTGGACTCAGCCTTTCTAGGTGTCTCTCAAAGAGTGAAAAATGTCTTTTACAGTGATACATGCATATCTGCGTTTAGAGGAGCACAACTCATAATAGCCAGCCTTTGAAAGTAGCCTGTAGGTCCATCAATAGAAGAACACAAAAAAGAAAATACAGGATTTATACAAAAGGCAGTGTATTACTCATGATAAATTTGAGTCATTTGTAGGAAAAGGGATAAATCTTGAGAGTGTAACATTTAGTGAAATAAATCAGAAACACAAGCTCAAATACATTAGGATTTATCCTGCGTGTGAAATCCAAACGTACACGTACACTTAATTAAGTGAGCAAAATAAAAGAGAAATAATAGCAATTGAGGAGATATGCCTACAGACACTTTGAATCCTCTCCACTTTCTTGGGAGTGCTTCGTGCTTAACCAGATGGTCTCTCTGGCAGACAGTTCTTTGTGTACTGAGAAGAATATTGATGCTGCTGTTGCTGAGTACAGTGCTTACAGATGTGCATCAGATTTACTTCTTTCAAACTGCTCTGATTGTCCCTGCCAAAGTCATTTTCTGATTTCTTACCTGTTAGTTTTTACCTGTAAGAAGAAGAGACTGGGTGGCTTAAAAAACAGAAAATTATCTCCTCACCGTTCTGCACATTACCACAACTAGATTAAAGTGCTATATTTTTAAAAACATGCTTTCTGGTGAAGCCTATATTTCTGGCTCACCCGAGGGTCTCATATATGAGAAAGCTGTGAGCATCCTGATTTGCACCTGACTATATGGAATTAGCAAGGTGTTGTGTG